TATTAGATTTACAGATTATTATATAAAGTTTGGTCTTTTAATGTTCATTTTGTAAAGATTTCCTTAAGTTTTTGTCACTACATAATTTTATTACTATATAAAATACCAATTAATACTTTCTAGAAAATTTAATAAATAACAAATTAACATTCTCAAAAGAAAAATAGTTATTCTAATTACTTTTACATATCATGATTTGTACTGCATTCTGTATCATTGATAGGAGGGCGACTACTTTATTATATTTATATATATATATTTTTATCAATGTTTAATAAAATAAATAATAAAATTTATAAAATAACATATCATGATTAACTATTATTTAGGGTAGATCTAACTTATTTAACTTTTAGGTGTCTTCATATCATATTCTGTAATATATCTTCAAACTATTATTTTATATATCTTATATAATATTTTATCACTTGTCATATTATATATATATATATATATATTTATTAGATATCTCCTACACCTATTAATTATTTAGTTAGTAGATAATTATTTGTTGAGTTTATAAATTATTATTATTACTTTTCAATATTTCATTTATATGTTTTAGGATGACCTTCCAACAAATTTATGTCAAACTCACCTTACTTTTAATCTAGCTTTAGAGTGTCAACCCCATGCCTTCATCATTTAATCATTTCTTAATATAACCAATGTTTTTGACAAGATTTTTCCATGGAATTTCTATGGATTTTGTCTTTGACAAATTCTCTCTGAAAAAATGACAAAAAGGATTCCTAATATGAACATGCACATGTACATATTCAATTAAAAGTTCATTAGAAGACTAAAAAAAAGAAAAAGAAAAAGAAAAAGAAGTTTGGAGACAAAATTATCTTAAACTAGCAAAGGCTGTTAAATAAATATTATTTACCTCATAGCTCTACAAATAGAGATCATCTTTTTAAAAGATTTAAAGAAAATTTAGAGAGAGAGAGAGAGAGAGAGAGAGAGTAAAAGTATGTTAAACAATCACTCAAATAAGACTTTATTTCATAGAGAGAAAATCATAGAAAAAGAAAAAGCAAAATTCTATGAGACCTAAAATCCAATATAACCCAAATGGAACTTGAAGCTAGAGGATCTCTTTCCCTTTTTTTGGAAGTTGCACATGCCTTAAAGAACAATGTGAAGCTAGGTTCATATATATATATATATATATATATATAAAACATAATCATGCATATGCTTCAACTTCAGTATGTAATTTTGTATTCCTATGTTCCTACTCCAAAATCTTACATATATATATATATATATATATCTATTACATAGATCACCCTTAAATATACACACAACATACATATATATATATACATATGTAAATGCTAACTCACCCGCATGCAACATATGCACATTTGCACATAGATTCATATATGTATAGGTATATACCCAGACATATTATATAAACATAGACACACAATTTAATTATATACATTTGCATATGTATATACCTGCATTCAAACACACCCAGATTTATATATATATATATATACAAATAATTACATGCCTCACATAAATTTACATATATATGCATGTATTTACAGACTCACACGGAGTTATATATATGCATATATTTACAAACTCACACAGATTTACATATATATGCATATATTTACAAACTCACACAGGTTTACATATTTATGCATATATTTACAAACTCACACAGCAACTGATTAATCACACACATACATATATATTTACATGCAGAAACTTTTATATACTTCCAGCTTTATATGCACATAATTAATTTAATTATGCACACACATATTTTATATACATATATGGATATACTCATGCCTATCCACACAGTTATATTTGAATGTTTGCACTCACAGACACAAGTTAGTACATATACACATATATATATTCTCCGAGCTTCATGCAAACTTATATATAAACACACAGCTGCAAAGTTTTATATATAAATATACACT